AAAACGTCGAAGAGGATGATAGTATTCCCCTGTTCTCTGGAATCACTGCTTTCGATTCTCCTCCTACTGGTACCCACTTTTGCTCAACCTTTTAGGGTTTGATTCAAAATTTTTCTCCTGAATGTACGGGTTGGACCCGACTACCCGTGTTCTACCCATTAGGAGCCTGAATTTTTTCACTAATCGATTTCTTTGTTTTTGGATTCAAAATTTTAATTGTTTCTATCGGCTTGTCTGTTTTTCTTTTTTGTTTTTTTTTTTTGGTTCTCTGTGTTTATGCCTACATCTTTTTTGGTCTCTGCCCATTTGTGTTCTTGATCAAATGGATTGTCTGTGTTTACACGTACGCTTTTGCAGACAAATACGTCCTTGTATTTCTATATTTTGTCAAATGATGTCTATCACCGTTTATAGTTCTATTTGCGCTATTGAGTTTGCTTTTTACGTGCAGAAAGAGTGGCTTATCTTGATTTTCTTATTGGTTCTGCTTTCTGTCTTATGTATATATGAATTCATTTAAAGCTTTAATATTTACGTAATTATTGGACAAAACTACACTTCGAACATGCATATGTAAAATTTTTCTGTTGCTTTGCATGACTTGATGTTTGAACCAGTTAAAGAAGAAGCAAAGCCGGACAAGGTCAAGATAGAAGGCAAGCGGCGACTCTGCAAAGTCTCATATCGAGACAGCAATGATACTCACAGCAATGTGGTTGCTGGTGAACCAGAAGTTTCTGGAATTACTGATCTTGATTCACCGTTATCACAACCTAAAAATGTGAAGGAGAGTGACAATGCAAGGGGTGGGAATGAAATTAGAGATATTTTAGATGATTTAAGCTCAAAGCTTCACCTTTTATCAATTGAGAAAAAGAAAGGCCCTGAAAAACGTGATTTAGTTGGTGGTTTTTCGGGCTTGGTGAAAGATGTCACTCTGAAGGAGGAGGTTGATTTGCACAAAGATGTAATTGCTGGATCTCTATTTTCTGTCACATCTAATCCATCTGATATCTCTCTGGCCATGACTAGGAATGTTGAAGATGTAGTTGAGAATGTGGTGGATGAGCACGAGGATGACCAAAACTTATGGAGGGAGTCCAAGAGTGAGAGAGCGGAAGAGAAAAAGAACAATGGTGTAAGTGAAAGGAAAAGTGAAGTTGGAATGTTCAATGACGAATTGGCATATGTGAGGCAGTCTTTTGAATACAATATTGTTGATGATGAGGAACAAGAGAATGTTGATGTACAGTTAAAACCCAAGGCCGTTGCTTCTATGCATAGAGAAGAAAAAACTAAAAAAATTGGTCAAAAACCAAAGAAAAGAGAACCAAAAGAGTCGCATGAAAGATTACAATATGTTGGACGATCCACAGTGTCTGATGTTATTACTGATGAAGCAAGGGGGTATAAAGATAAGTTCATGGGACGCAATCACCCTTTTGGAAGAGATACACTCGATGATTGCGTAGAAGAGAGTGCACTCCGGGATGAAGAATCCATTATTTTGGATGGCCAAAGATCAACTTACGTCTTACCTGGGAAAATTGCAAAGATGTTGTACCCACATCAATGTGAGGGGTTAAGGTGGCTTTGGTCTTTGCATTGTCTAGGAAAGGGAGGGATTTTAGGTGATGACATGGGGTTGGGAAAAACAATGCAGGTAAATAAACTTGCAACAATTCTGTTAACAAGTTGATATGTTTTAGCTTGTAATATCAGTTATAAGATAAAAATCTTCTTGCAGATTTGTGGCTTTCTTGCTGGTTTGTTTCATTCCAGATTGACTATAATTGGATTGGTTGTTGCCCCCGGAACACTGCTTCCTCATTG